TTCGTTGCTAAACTTGAAATCGATTTATTAATTTTTAGATAGTTTAAAGAAATTAAATAAAGACGCTCAGCCTCTCTATCTGTTGGTGATTATACCCACGGAACTCAGGGGTTCCAGGCTATCAATTGTCTAAAATTCCATTTGGAGAGTTAAAACAATGTAAAATTACTTTTTTCAGGAAGCTTTCCTGAAACTTAAATTAACCACTATCATTAAACATTTCCTTGATCAATAACTTGACTCACCTACTCAACTTTTCTAAAGATTAGTTTTGTCTAGTATGGTTTTCTCCTTTAGAAATCATGTTGGTTTATATGTGAATTACCCATCACTTTACAGCCTCTGCTGAGTGAGTTTATACAGTGAGTCTCTGGTAGCAGACAGACGTGGGAGTGAAAATGTTTCTCCTTAACCACAGGAAGAGATTTCTTACAATGCCTTTTAGCTGTGGATAGAAGGCTACCTCACCCCGCAGGAAAGAGAACTCTCTCTCTCTCTGCAATTGGACAATGGCACTTCATTCAAGCTAAACCCTCTTGTAAACTTCCTCTCATAGCAGAGACAATCCCAATAATAGACCAAAAAAATCACACCAGTTGCTAGCAGGTCAGTTCCAGTTGAACTGTACTCCATAGGATTTTCAATAGCTGTGATCTTTTGGAAGTAGGTTGCCAGGCCTTTCTTCTGAGGTGCTTCTAGATGGCTTCAAACCACCAACCTTTCAGTTAGTAGCCGAGTGCTTAACCATTTGGGCCACCCCGGGGAAATATTTGCATAAAATGCCCATGTGCCTTTATATAGAAGGCCTTTTAGTTTAATTAAAAATTAATGAATACCTTGTGATATTAAAAAAAAAAATTTCACATGCATGTCCAAGAATTTTGTAGCGGGATTATAGAGCTTGATGAGTTTTATCATACAGTACCAAGTACTTTCATTAGTGATTGAGGAGCATTGTATCTGTGCAGACATATATTTCCACCGAAATCCAGAAAAATTCCCGGTGGGCCATGGTAACAACCTCCAAAGGATTTAGAGGACTAGAGAGAATCTGCCTTCTACGAATTGAAGTATTAAAAATAACTCCCATGGCGTGAATTTCCATCGTAAGAAACTGTGATGTGGTCAGAGCAGTTATTTTTATCATCTGGACATAACTCTTAAGAAACAAAGCAATCAATAGAGTTATGAAAGCACTTATACTATGAGCTTGAAACAACTGCTTTACGCCCCAAAGATTTCTGTTGCTACGTCCGCTAGTGATTGAGTAATTCAGTACATCTTGAATGTCAACAGATTTTTATTACTCAGCTAAAGTTGGCTTTGCTGGATTAAATGTCATTTAAAATGATCAATTGGCAGCTTGTTTGGGGTTATTTTCACATTTATGAAAGGGAAAAGTATGCAAGATACAAATATTCCTAAAGCTTACAGGTAAAGTTTGTTCCCTGGTAAGCCCTGCCCTTCATCTATCCAAAGAGCAAGTAACATTCTAGATCTTTAGCAGGTTTACTAAAAGGTCCCAGTTTGACGCCTCTGAAAAACCAACATGGTACCGCAGTGCTGGTTAAGTCCTCACTTGGAGAAATGGTCTGGTTCGCACTTCACTGTTTATGAGAAATAGAATTTCCACAAGAGTGAGAGAGGAGCAGCAAAAACAATACAGTGAAAATCCTCGTGCAGATAGGATGGAAGGAGAACCTTCCACTACAAATCCTGGCTCCACAATAGGCCTCCGAGTGGAGTGCCTTCTGGCTGGAGTCTAGAGGAAGGTCAGTGTGCCGCTCACCTTCATACGGGCGAAACTTCATTATGACAAACGAGAAGAGACAACCAAGTCATTTCTTTATGATTAAATGTTATTTAAATGAACACACTAGAGAATCACATTCCCAATTCGGAGGAAACCAGAGGTGTCGTCGGCCTGTCTATAGTGAACCTGACTGTAACCGTGTGGGGAAACAAGGAAAGACGTGCACAGACCACGTTTGCTTCGTCTAATGTATTAGCATTTTATGTGATCATCTTTGGTTGGCCAGATGTTTTCCAGTTGGAAGAGACTGTAGGATATTAAAATGTATCTACCATTTGATGCTGGGACAAAAAATGGGCAATTAAACCACAGCTCAGTTCTCGACTTTCCATTTATAGCAAAAATGATGCAAGACAAGGAGATAGCAGGGAGAGAGATACTTTGCCTACTTTACTGCTTTGCCTAGAAACTCGAGTGGTCTTCTTTTAAAGGACCTTAAAAATGAGCTAGATTATTCTCAGTCTGCAGTGCTGGGGGACAGTGACTCCTCAAGGTGTTTATGTTGCTAGGACTGGTCCTCCCGCTCTCTCTTCCCGCCACAGCCCATCCTCTGACAATGAAGAATGCAGCCAGCTGGTGGGGGCGGGAATGGAAGTGGCTGGCCAGCTTCTGTTATTAAGATGGGTTTCAAACTCTAGGCATATGGTGACATTGTTTTAAGAAGAATACCACATTAACCTTTTCCAGGATACAACAAATCACGCATCACGTTGATTTTTAGACACAGATAATAGAGGGAAAGGGCTACAGGAAGGAATACTAAGTATTTAGGGCCTTTTTAAGTTTAAGAAGGTCCCTGAGTAGCACAAGCAGTTTACGCTCGACTGCTAACCTGAAGGTTGGCAGTTTGAACCCACCCCACCCAGCAGCGCCATGGAAAAAAGGCCTGGCAATCTGCTTCCATAAAGATTACAGCCAGGAGAACCCCAGGCAGCTCAGTTCTACACTGTAACACATGGGGTCACCATGAGTCGGAACCAACTTGATGGCAACGGGCTTGGTTTGGGTTTTTTTAAGTTTAACAGTAGTTCTTTGGAAAACAAATCAAGTATTATGACAGTTCCACCTGCTATTCGAAGAGAAAGCTGGATTTCACAAAGGATGCACTAAACAGAGTTAACCCTTGCCCTGAAGAGTCCCAGAATTTTACAAATATATACCCATTAACCCATTTCTCTGACAACATAGTGAAGTGTGGCTTAGCACAGGTTTCACAGTGCTACAGAGCCTAGAATCCTATATGTGTCACTTACCAGTTGTCCCCTTTGGCAAGTAAATTATTAATGAAACCTCTAAGCCCCAGCTCCATCATCTGTAAAATAGGAAGAGCAACAATACCTGCCTCATAGAGTGGGTTGTAAAGGTCAAACGTAACTGTGCTCAGTGTGCCAGCACAGTGCCTGCAGATACTCCTGGGGTGGTAGTTAAAGTGCTTGACTCTTAACCCAAAGGTTTGAGGTTCATGTCCACCCAGAGGCACCTCGGAAGAAAGGCCTGGCAATCTACTTTCAAACAAACAGCCATTGAAAACCCTATGGAGCACTCTTCTCCTCTAACACACATGGGGTTTCAGCATAAGAGTCAACTCAAGGGCAACTGGTTTTTAAATATCATTGTTGTTATTTCTATTACTTTCTCTTCACACACAGTATCATTCATATAATAATCCTGTAACATAAATGTTGTTATTCCTATTTCATAAATGAGGAAACAGAACCTCAGGGACATTATAAAACTTGCCCAAAGGTTACCTGACTGAATTCCCCTTGTCGAGGTACTCCAGAGAAGAGCGTGTTTCCTTCCTGGGATATAAATATATTGGCTCTAAGATATTCCAGGTCATGATTAGACACTCCCCTCCCAGATGTGCCAGGCCCAGGCCTCACCCAGCATAAAAAAGACAGCACGTTGTAGCTCAAGAGCCCCGGAGTTCAAATCCCAGTGACCCCAGGCAAGTTATTGTAACATCTCTGAGGATTAGAAATAATGCATGTGAAGTGCAAAGACATTCGAAGCTCCTAGAATCATACAGTGAACACCTGGAAATTGGAGAGCAGACCAGCCTCAACTAAACCTGGCCAGGACAGGTCTGTCCCCACCCACCTGCCAAGGCTCTGCTGGAGGGCAAACTGCACACTTTATAACACAAACCCAGAAAACGATAGAACAAGGGAAAGGTGTGCATCCCATGTCTTCTCTTTTCATTTGTCAGTCCGCAGCCAAGCACCTGGCCTAGCACGGTGTCTTTTTAGTTGCCTTCAAGTTGATTCTGACTCCTGGCGACCCCGTGGGTGTCAGAGCACAGCTGTGCTCCACAGGGTTTTCAACGGCTGCTTTTTCAGAAGTAGATCGCCAGGCCTTTCTTCCAAGGTGCTTCTTAGCAACCGAGCGTGTTATCATTTGTACCCCTCAGGGATCCCTAGCGCAGTGTCCTGCCCATAGCAAAGAACCTAATAAATAATTGTTGCCTCACCAAATGATACAATTTCAGTTCTGCAAATGGAGAAAGTGATTTTTTCACTTTCTACTTTCTACCATAACGATAAAACAATTTTAAGGACTTCCCAAGGATGCTATAATGAGAATACACCTGGATCTTTTCCTAAAACCTTGCTAACCACAGTCTCCACAGCCCCAGTCACACACTGTTCACTCACCATGCTTCTTCTGCCACTTCTTAGCCTACTCCTGTCTTCTCACGTCGATTTCCGCAGTACCACCCACCAACACCAAAGTAATCCTTTAGCCCCACCGTTTTTACCACACCTCTTGCTTTGGATCATCAAGGCTCTCTTCCCACAATTTTTGCCTTCCAGCCTGTTTTTCGACCACGTGCAGAGCCGGCTCCTTTGCAGGTAGAGCTCGCTCCCTGTCTTTTCACGTAGGCTCTGCTCAAGTTCAAGTTATTGATTCATGACCGTGGACAAGGTCATGGTGCCAACATCTCTAAAAAGGGGTGGTGGTTGGCCTGGCTGACCTCTAAGGCCTCCACAGCTCAAAGGCCCACTTCTCCAACACCATCTCCCCCGACCTCCCTAGACCTTAGTTTTCTCTCTGTAAAATGAGGAAGTTAGACAGTCAATCCAAAGTAGGTAAAAGCGGTTACTACATTATTTTCTGGTTCTTGTTGTTAGTGCCGCGACAAGAAACGTTTTCAACGGTATTTTCTTGCCCTTTTCCTGTGTAGACTGTAGACTGCTTTGGGATTACGTCTATCAGTTACTTTCTGACAGCCGGTACGAAAACTTCATCCGATGGGAGGACAAAGAATCCAAAATATTCCGGATAGTGGATCCCAACGGACTGGCTCGACTGTGGGGAAACCATAAGGTAAAGAGCACCAGATATTTGCTCTATAAACTAGTGCCAAGATAAAGTCATTATCGCTGGATTGGAGGACAATTGTCTGTCTTCTGCTTCCAAAATATGCTCGTAATTATTTAGTTTATTCCTCACTGGGCAAACAATTAGACAGTTACAAAGGAAGGAAATAATTAAAGATGCCGCTTTCTATTTGTTACTTATGCCAGGTGCCTGTTAACTCAGCATATCCTGGTTTGATGGAGCTTCGTCATGGGGAACCCTGGCTGCACTCCCCTTGACCTGGCCCTGCTGCCACCACCAGTCATTAGGGGCTGGGCGGCAGGGAAGTGCTGGGGGACTCTGTGACTCACAGGAGCGCTTTGGGAAGTGGCACTTCTCTTCTGCTCAACTGGAAACGGTCATTTCATGAAAGCCCATTTCGACATGGAGAATTACTTATATTCTGACTTTAAAACATAGCCTTTAAAAGCAAACTGTGCGAGAAGAATGATTGCCCCAAACTGGGAAGAGGAAATGGAATTTAAAAGATAAAGTCTTTTCTAGTAAGGCAGGCTGTTCAAGTGTGCAGATGTAAAAAGCGGGTAACCGCAGTCTAAGCCAGGCCACAGACAGGTAGATCTGGGCAAAGCCTGCCAGGCGATAGGGTGGTCCGGCGCCAGCTCAGAATGAGAGGACAGGGGGTATAGCCGAGCCCTGCCCGGCTCGAGCCTCCGAGGAAGGCAGTGCAGCTGGGTGCTCTGGCTCCGCTGAGGAGAACTGAATGCAGGCCATGACCAAATATGGCCAGGCCCTACCGACAGACCCTTCACTGTGTGAGTCACCGAGAAAAATCCTTCTGCAACTCTCACATTGCTCCAGAGCCCCAGGGCTCGGAACCGCTGCATTCTTGCATCAACAGGGGGACTTTCAACAAAAAAAAAAGTCTTCCTGAAAATGACAAGCCAGAAGCACCAGTTTGGGAAAGGTCATTAGCATTAGGACAAAAAAAAAAAAAATTCTGTGTGGGTCAGAAGGGAAAGATGACCCCAAGATGGGGAACCTGCAGGAGATTCCTGGGAAAAGGAGGTAAGGGAGGTTGTTGAGAGATGGGCTTTATTAGCTAGAGCTCTGACAAAGGCCCATTCACCTTAGCAGAAAGCCAAGGGGTGGCAACTCGAAGGCCTGGGAGGCAGCAGATTAGCAGGTAGCTTTCCAAGCTGGCAGGGCCTCATGGAGCAGCTGAAAGCTGAAGAGCTTTTATTTTAATAGCTCCCCCAGTGCCTTTTCTGAAGTTCATTTCATTGTGTCTTTGTGCTTGTTTTTTCTCTCTTCCTCCTTTGAACAAACAGAACAGAACAAACATGACCTATGAGAAAATGTCCAGAGCCCTTCGCCACTACTACAAACTAAACATTATCAGGAAGGAGCCGGGACAAAGACTTTTGTTCAGGTAGCACTTCCTTTTTCTCCTTTCCTTCTTTTGGGAGGATATTGTTTGCTTTAAAATAAGAGGGAGGGGGAGACTGCTAACATACCTACCTGCCTGTCGGACAGCCAAAGCCCTCGTTGCCACGCACTGGATACCAGGTGCTGGTTTGTTAGAGTTTAAGAAAAAAAAAAAAACTTTTTAAAAAACATTTTTTCATCTGTTTTGAAGTCAAACCAAAACTAAACAAACATGATCTGACTCACCTTGAAAATAGTGTAGTGAGCAAATAGCATTATCTGACACTAAAGTCCAATGTAGGTAAAGGGAACCTGAATCTCACTGTCCATGGCAAAGCCAAGAATTAAACTTAGATTTCCAGGTTACCAACCCTGTAAGCTATTTCTAAACCAGTGTTTCAAACTGGGATCATGACCTGTTAGTGAGTCATGAGATAGGTTTAATGGGTTACTAACACCTTTTTTTAATGCAATGGAATAGAAAGTATCAGATAGCATCACATAAAGTAAGAGCAACTTACCTTATGAAAATTTGTTTCAGGGATGTGTGTATGTGTGTGTGTGTGTGTGTGTGTGTGTGTGTGTGTGTGAGTGATGAGTCACAATGTGAAATGTATCTTTTACGATGCATCATAGCCAAAGAAGTCTGAAAACTGTGCATTAGACATTCCTCTTTCCAGAATTCCTCAGTGAAGAGTTCCAGCCACTTAACCTACCACATAGATTGGGATTTCAAGTACTATACAAGAAAGGAGAAGGAATTAGAAGAGGAAGAAGGGATCTGAAGGACCAGTCAGTGGAGGTAGAAGTAGACCTCTGACACTGATTAGGTCCAAGTACAGATTGGTGAGATCAACAAACATGACCTCAGGTTTTGAATATTGCAGGTGAGACAGGAAAGAATGACAGATGGGACTACAGATATGGATCTGGAATTATCTGTATGTAGGTGGAAATTGACAGCATGTATGAGCAGATGAGCTCACCAGGATAGTATTTATGGAAAAAGAACAGAGAACCCGGACTTTAACATCAGGAAGGAATGGTAATTTAGGATTAGTAAAAATAATTGAGACCTTCAAAAGAAACAGAAAACACTGTTCAAGAAACGGAAACAGAATGGAACAAAGTAAAAAGAGAACCCTCTTTCTCTGGCTCTGCTGACGCTTTCTCTTCCTGCTTCACTAAGTTTACTTAGTCCTTGGCTCCCTATTCTTCCCACTCTGTACTTGTTCCCTGGATGAACTGATGCCATCACACAGATTCTGTTATCACCTCATTTGTTAGACTCCTAAATCTCTGTATCCAGCTCTAAAACCTCTCTGAAATTCCAAATCTGAATCTCCAAGAGCTTCCTATAGGGTATGCCCACTTGACTATCATATTAGTATCTCAAGCTCATGTTCACGATGGACCTTCCTCACCAACTAGAAATCCCACCCAGAATTCTTGTTACTCACCAGTGGTATCGACATTGTTTTAAGCAATTAGTCTTGAAACTCTCCTTATCTTTGACTTTTCCTGTATTCAAGTCAGTCATTGTGCTGGATTATCCATTGGCTATTCAGCACCATTCCTACTGTGTTCTATATTGCAGGCTGGAAACCTGGGAACTACATTTCCCAGAATTCCTTGCCAGTAGGTCCCAGGTTGGAATCTACCAACAACAGGCTCTTACACGAGGTTTAGAAGATGGAAGAAAGGCAAGATCATTATTACTCCTTTCCAACAATGGAGGCTGATGTCTAGATTTCCTGATTCACTCCTGGAATAATTTAACAATCTATTTTCACCTCTGGTCCTCCCCGCTGCCTCCCAAGTTCATAATATACACAGTCATTTGCCCCAGAACACTAATATGATTCCGTGTGCCAGAAACAAGTATCCCTTTTAACTTTCACCTTTCTAATACTCTCTACATCCTCAAGGCCCAGCTCAAGTTTTCTGCCCTTTATGAGTCCTTCTACAACTGCTCTTACACATAGAAATGTCTTCTTCCATCATCCTTTGGGTTCCCTTGGCCCTTAACACAGCGTGTTTTGCATTTTTGATGGATGTATGTGTAAAGGCCTTCTCCCACAATTAGAGGACAATATTTTATATTCTAGTTTATACCTTATGGAGTCTTTAAATAAGTATTTCTTGACAAGCCTGGAGAGGAGTATCAGAAGGTCAATATGGAAAAGTAGTCAAAAGAATCAAGGGGCAGTTTGGAGGGCCAAATACAGCATATATATGGACACGGCCTGGAGATCATTAGTGACTTCAGACGTTGAGGGAGAAGTTTTAGCTAGGGGATGAAAGGACCAGACAGACTGCAGCTATTACAGATCACACTGCTGGAGAAATTCACCAGTAATGAAAAGAAAAGCAATAGTAGTTTTATTGGAAGGTTCATAGGTTTCCAATAAAAGATTTTCAACCTGGTAAGAGGAAAGAATCGTGGTAATTTCCAAGGAAGTGAGTGTTGGAAGCCAGACTTGCCACAAAACGTAGGCTTCTTGTTAGAAGACAAGTGTGTAATCAAGTGAAGTATTAAATTTTTACAAGATTTATAGGCATTAAGGGCAGGCGTCGGAATCAACTTGACGTCAGTGGGTTTGTTTTTTTGTTTGTTTAGGGGAAGGAAGATTTCAGTACGGACTGATGCCATTAAACAACTCTTTAACAATGAGGCAGAACTCAACAAGTGGGACTTGCAAAGGAAAAGGAATAAAGACTGTTCAGGATAAGAGCAAAGCTAAAGATTTGGAGAAAAGCATGGGCCGTGATTTATAGAAGAAGAAAAACTGGCCAGAGTGGAGTGGAGGGGTTCATGCCAGTGAAGAATGGAAAATTAGATTTTTGTGGGTAGAGATGGTAGAATGCCCTGATGGACAAGTCAAAGAGCGTCTCCTTGACTTGATAAGTGGTCATCATAGGCTTCTGAGCAGGGAGTGATGAATTAAAATATATGTTTTAAGATAGTTCATCTGGCGCAGGGCAGAGTACATGCTGGGAAAGGTGTGCAGGCACGGAGCTGGGGTTGGAGCTGTGGAAGGGCATGCTCACGGTAAGAGCAGAACTTTACAGTTAGGCTGCCTGCCTTAGCCATGTAAACTGTGATCAAAACATGCCCCAATGTTCTTTCAAATGAACCCATTGGACAAGAAGATAGGGCTTGCCCTACATACCTGGCTGCAAAGGAAGATAGACTAAAAGGGATGCATTGCTAGCATTTTGGGTGGATCAGCGATAACATTGAAAAAAGTCTCTTTCTTTTTGCCTTTCTAATTTTCCAAAAGCACCACTAACTTGCCCTATTATCAGATTTTCCACTCAGAGTTTAGTTGTATCCTTTGAGTTAAATTCAAGTTTTGAATACCATTCCCTAGGCTCACAGTCTGGCATGGAAATGGATATACAGCTCTCATGGGGCTTTGTATAATCTAACTCGCTAAAAATAAGCAATCCAGGTAAGGGAGCTGTACCAGGGTTTCCTTGTGTGGTTATGCAAATAATGTACTGCACAGCTCCCTACCTCATGGCCACCCGAGACCTGATGATGGTCATTTCATCAGTTTGCAGGCAGTCAGAAGAAAGGGCCCCTTTTTCTGATTTGCACCACACTAGCGCGAATGGTCGGGTTCAGTAGCTCTCCAGCTATATATGAGATGATGAGGCCTTTCTTTACAGGTTAGAGGTTGGGGTGAAGACAACTTTAGGAAGGTGTAATTGCTTGACTCCTTCACTTCCTCTTCCAAAGGTTTATGAAAACCCCAGATGAAATTATGAGTGGCCGGACAGACCGTCTGGAGCACCTTGAGTCCCAGGAGCTGGATGAACAAATATACCAAGAAGATGAATGCTGAAGGAACCCACCCAGCACCTCGGTGGCTGTGGCCGGCAGCAGCGGAGACCCTGCCCAACAGGACTGCTGGTGGAATGACAGAGCAGGGGGCTGAGGAGAGCGGAAAAGGAAGAGACCTCGAAACGGGAGTGACGCTTCTCCTGGTACCAGGAGGGACCCCAGAGCATCTTAGACAAACCACCCAGCAAAGGCGGGGCTGGACTTCTGGCTGAGGGCACGAGCCTTGGACTCACGCTTCACATTTCCTTCTCATTTGGAATCTCTCCATCTGTAATTCCTCACCCTTCCACCTATTGTTAGTTTCATGGTGTTTTTGTTTTTGTTTTTTTAAGAACACGCAGTTTGACTTTTCATCATTCATGTAGGGGAAGACATCTGATGTTGTTTTCCTATGGAAATATATATCTATTATATATATATATATATATATTTTTTTTTTTTTTTTGCAAATCTCACGAAGTGTAGCAAGCCCAGCTAGTCAGGAAAGGGAATACTTGCGAAAGGGTTCAGGTTCCTCTTTCTCCTGCCGTGTGGATCAGGTTTATTCCTGTTGCTGTTGGGTCTTGGCTGAAAGAAAAAAAGAAAGAAAGAAAGAAAAAGATGCTTTTAAAAAAGATAAAGTGAAAAGGGGAGCTCTCTTTTTCTCTCTCTCATTTTCTCTCCTTCCCTTCCTCCCCTCTCTCCTTCCTGCCTGGCTGCCCTTGAGCTTCAGATGCCTTTCCTCAGAGTTCAGCCTCTTGGGAATCGTTGGCACCCAGTCAGTGACCTGAGTGCTTTGTGACCAGCACCACAAAGTCAAACCCACATCCCGGCACAGGGCCCACTGTCAGAGGGAGGCCAGAATCATCCCAGATGCTGCTGAACTTCAGAAAGATAAGTGCTAGTCCAACAGGCCCCCCCGAAAATGGCTGTGAGGACCACACAGCTTGGTGGTTCTCCAGAGCATGAGGACAGAAGGCTGTCCAAGATGTTTGGAAGACCCCAACATCTCGGGACTAGCTTACAAGTGCCATCAAGTGGAAAATACGAGAACACCACACAGGCCTGGCAGTCTAGAAGCTGGGTGAAAATATTCTGCTGTGGGGATTTATTTTTCTGAAGCAGGGAATTGAGCCTGAGAGGAAAGAAAGGTCTTCTTTGCACCACCCCAGAGGCCATCTTGTGGTCAATTTCATGCCCTCACTTGATTTTTTTTTTTCTATTCCTAGCCTTTTTTTTTTTTTTTTTAAGGTCCTTAGTCCCCATTGGGCGCAGGACATTTGAAAGGGGAAGATTCTGGAGTGCAGCCTCAATTGCTGAGTGTTTGCCCAGCCTGGTCAGACCGGAAGTTCCTCAGACATATTATTCCTTCCTTCTTTCCTCCTCTCATAACTGTGTTTGAGAAAGGACCCAGTCATGGCTCTTTTTCACCTCAAATTAAGGTTGGTAATATCTTACAAAAGGAGGGAAATGCCAGCCTTAGCGCTTTAGATGATAACAGATATTTTCAGAGAACTGTTTTAGATATATTTTTTTTCTTTTCAAGCCTTCTAAATTGACTCTTCCAATATAGGTCCAGAAATCCAGTATGAGGAATACAATCTTTTTTTTTTATCCAAAAGACCAGCCCTGCCTCATAAAGCACCCCCTCCTCATTTGCCTCCGTCTCCTCTACTGAGTTGGGTGAGAATCTTACGGCTATGCCAGGGTATGAACGTGCCCTGTCAGCAGTTCTTCCCAGGTGAAGCGGCCAGAACCCGGGGCTTCTCCTCATGCCACTTTGGAGTTGAGTCAGGCCTGTAGAGGTTGGAGGGACACAGGCAGGAGGAATTCTCCCCTGGCCTTACTGACAGTTACACCAGGCTGGGTGGCAAGTAGATTGACTATGGGTCAAGGACACTGGAATTGAGGAGCTAGTAGTCAAGGCTCTTCAGTCTTGCTCTTTTCCTGACTCTTCTAGGATCACAGGTAGACACGCGGAGGTGCCCAGCCCAGTCCCACTACCACACACTCCCCCACTAACCTGGGAATGTTGGCTTGCTGTGAGGTCAGGGACCTTCTCTGGGAGGCTAGAGGGCCCATTATGAAGGGTTTGGTCCCAGTCTGCTTGAATGGTGATGAAATTCAGCTGGATCCCAGCATGCCACAGATGTCTTGAATTTCAAGAGTGTCCAGCAGAGCCGCACACAGTGATATATTGTCCAGCCTCTAAGATGACCGATGATGAACATCGAGAGATATTAATACCTGAGGTGTTGTCAAATGCGTGGAGTCTTAAGAACGGAGTTAAAGGGCTGGAGGGAGAGGGTGGGTTTTTACTGAGGCCATTGTATGAGTCTGAAATCAGAGACGAGGGCATGATGCTGCTTCTTCCTGAGGATCTCACTGCAGCTACTTACCCAAGTAGAAGAATCAGTCACTTCTTACTCACAGAATCTCACAGTTAAATTATGGAAGGAAATCCCCATTTGCCTCAAGGATTTCTGTATTTAAAGCAATATCCTATAAGTATACATAAGACTTAGGATGACACCTTCAGCCACTTGAAGGAGATATAGCAGAAGGTGCCAATTCCAGTGTAGTCTTACTTCCCATTCAGATATCACCAGTAATGGTTTTCTGTTGATCCCCTTAACTGCAAAAGGCCTCCTCATTTATTCTTTGAGAGAAGACCTGGGCAGTGCCAAAACCGGGCCTACAGTGTTTGCACACTGCACACCCCAGAGATTTCAGATTCAGCTTAGCAAACCTTTGTGAAGCACCTGCTAGACACTGAGAGGTTCGAAGATGAATCGGGCACTATTCCTGGCCTCTGGGAGCTTACATTGGATCTGTAGAATCCCTCACTTCAGCATTAAATGCTAGGGTTGATCGAAATGTCACCCAGGACCAAATTAAAAGCTCATCTGTCGTCTGAGTAGTTGGCCTCTGTCTTGCCATCCTGAGAACTCTTGGCTTACACAGTCAGACCTTAGGGAAGGGAAGTGCAGAGGAAGAGCCCTACAGAGAGAGGGGAGCTTCCTTCAGTTGTGTCCAGATGGACACCTCAATTTTATCTTGAAATCCCCCAGCATCTTCTCTTCCCTGCACCTTGACCGAGCCAGGTCGCCACCTCTCCAGCAGAAGACCATAGTGACAATTGGCTGCACTGACTACATTGAAGATGACATTATCGCTAAGATCTTTTTGACCCAAGGCAACTTGGCCCACCCTAAGGCAGCGTCGGCAATGTTCTGAAGCCTTTGGGGGTGAAAGGGCCCCCACAGGAAAAGAGGAATAACAAATTGGTGGATTTTTTCCTTGTTATGGTATGTTTGGAACTCCCTGATCCCTTGTCTTTTTACACTGATAGCTCGTCCAAATGAGAAAGTAGCTTTAGCTGAAACGTCAATGGCTATGACAGCATTTACCTAAATGACAAAGTCGTCACCTCGCCCACCTTTCACTGCCTGGGGTCCACCTTTGAATTCATTGAAACAGGAACTCCCTTTCTCAGAAGGGAAACGTGAGTATCAGAGAGGTAACGTGACTTGCCCCAGGGGCAGATAGCATGCCAGGGGTAGAATTAGGATTGGGATCCAGCCCTGGCCAGACCCCTGTTTGACCCATTCCCACCCAGGAAGCTGAAGATAAAAGGTTTGGTAAAATACACAAAGAACAAAGGCAGTTTTCTTTGCCCAGGCATTCGGTGCTAGTCAGAAGCTTTTCACCCACTCAGCCAGTTCCTCTTATGAGCAGAAACCTGGAATAAAGGGCGTGATACAATGAAGCTAAATGGGGGTGGAGGGGTGGGGAGGGGGCCCACAATAATCCCCGCCTGTCTACAAACCGCAGAAGACTAACCTGAAACTCTTTTGGCCTCATCTGCCTCAACACTAATCAAGCGCAAACTCCCCGAATCTTACGCACATGCCAAGCGAACGTTCTTGAAGATTTCTCTTTGTGACTGCGACCACCTGCGAACCAGAATGAATCTAAATTTCTTTCTTTTTTTCTTCTTTTTTTTTTTTGTTTAGCTTCTAATCTCTTGTTGTTTATGAGGTGTGGGGTTTATAAGGGACTGAATCAAATGAATGTAACAAAAAAGAAAAACAAAAAAAAAAAAATGCCTTTTCTCAGGGCCAGTGAGTTGCAAATAATTTTTAAAGAAAAGCCTATAATTACATCATCTCAATAAATTTTTTTATAAAAAAATCTAGTCCCAAGTCTCCGTTTATAATCATATGAAATGGCGTCAGACAGACAAGGTGCTCCAATGAGGTAAATCCTGGCCCCACTCAATTAACGGTTTAAAGTGCAGTCACGGCTTCACTGGCAGGGAGCCTCCGTTACAGAGCGGTCTGCAGGCAGAGCCTCTAGGGAGCCTCCATTACAGAGCGGTCTGCAGGCAGAGTCTCCAGACAAGTGGCACCAGAAGGGTCAGCGCAAACAGTTCAAATCTGAGCAGCTGCCACAGGTAGAGAAATTTGCCAAAAGGAGCCCCAGTCAGAGGCACCTGGGCCCTGTGCTGTGTGGAGGATTTTTTTGTTCACTGAGGGCTGAGGGAAGCTGAAGGGTAAACGACCTCAGGTCCTCACACAATAGAATTATTCTTTAATTCTGAGATCGTAGGTCTCAGCCTACAGGTGATGAGGACATAAATGCAGGATAGATTTCTTGACTAACCACAGGACTGTAATGACCTAAAAGGCTTGGAGCCAGTCATCAGAATGTCTCGGCCACATGGCTGAGAGTCCAGTGCAAACTAGTAGACAATTAAAATTTTGAGATTAAACCCCCTGCAGGTGATCAGCCCACCTCTCTGCCATCACAGTTTGGTGAGTTTGAATGAAGGGGTGAAGCCATAACCTGGAAACTGAGCTAGACCCATTCTGCAAGCTTTCGGAGAGGGTTTTGGTAGAGACGTTGATAATTCTCAGCTGCTGTTTTTGTGGACTTGACAGGAACAAGGAGGAGTGGAAAATGAAGCCAATTATATTGCTTTTCAGCAACTTGGATGTAGATTTGGAAAGAAGAAATTGGAAATCAGTGGCCTGAGGGAATGTTATTACAGTATTTCTGTATTTAAGTTGTCCCTGGTACTTTGTCTCCCGAGACCATAACCCGCCCCCCGCAAAAAAAAAAACAGTTGCCTTCAAGTCAATACTGACTCCGAAACCCCATGTGTGTCAGAGTAGAACTATGCTCTGTAGTGTTTTCAATGGCTGATTTTTCAGAAGTAGATTGCCAGGCCTTTTCTTTGAGGCACCTCTGAGTGGACTTCAACCTCCAACTTCTCGGTTAGCAGCCAAGCGTGTTCCATGACCATGGATCGCTGATAATTTGGCCCCATATTCCATATCATCACAGCACATGATCAAATAAGGGTGTAGATATTTCCTGTGGTGGTAAAAATGCTTTTGAAGCTACTGTTTTTATAATCCAGCATCAACATCACCTGAGAACTTGGTAGAAATACAAATTATCAGTTCCCACCCCAAAAACTGAATTAAAAACTTTGGGGATGGGGCCTAGTAACCTGTTTCAGCAACCTCTCTGAGTGATTCTGATGCCTGCAAATGCTTGAAAACTACTGCTATGGTCAATCTGTTGATCCTAGTATGAAAAAGATCATGTGGTGTTTTCACCAATTAAGTACACAGAAGAATTGATGACAACTGACTAATTTGCATTAGTGGCACTTACACACAATAATGCTGCATTATTCCTAACACTAGATATGCTGTGGAATGAGGCTAAGTGAACGCAGAATCACAGACCAGTCTTCCTCTTGTTCCCTCCAAACCTCCAGCAGTCAATTTGCTATAAAGATGAGCCGTCTTAAAGGGTAACTCTTAACAGCTGACCTGCCCTTTCAAATTAGAGCACAGCAATTTATCCACTTACGCCCACTTACCTGGCTAACCAGCTGATGTAAAAAGAAAAATGAAAGGACCATTCTCATCTACTGACAGACCTTGGCTGTCTGTTCCTGGAATTATTCAAGCAGCGCTCAGATGACCACTGAGCCAGGGTACTGCAGAAGATTCCAGCACCGTTGCACTAGACCAGGGCATCTCAAACCTGAAAGTGCTTGCCAATCACCTGGGGGTCTTGGCAAAAAGCAGATTTTGCTTCAGTAATGTTAGCATCTTGGGAAGTTTGGGTGGAAGATCTGTTCTTCTATCCTACTTTCTGGGTGGGGATTGACATTCTGCATTTCTAACAAGCTCCCAGGTAACATGATGCTGCCTGTCCTTAGACCACACTTTGGGCCAAGCCCTGAGATCCTGACCCTAACTGCAAAACTGAGCTAGCCTCTCTCTTTGTTGTATTCGTTTGCCAATTCCTCTCTAGAAGACTCACTGAGGCCAGTCCTGCTCTGCGAGAAGTTTGTCTCTTTTTAGGGCAGCGACAAGAGTAAATACCATGATCGAGAGCCTCTTCACCAAGTAAAGGAACAGCTATTTACATATGGACCTTGATACAGGAGCTCATAACCAGATGCCTCAACCACCATCCTTACAGTAAAGAAAAAAACCAGATCCGTTGCCGTCAAGTAGATTCCGACTCATAGCGACCCTACAGGACAGGGTAGAACTGCCTCACAGTGTTTCCAAGGAGCAGTTGTGGATTTGAACTGCTAATCTTTTGGGTTAGCAGCCGAGCTTTTAACTACTGTGCCACCAGGGCCCCATCCTTACAGTAAGAAATGAGAATTCCAGGGGTCACTCCTTCAGCCCCTAGAAAGACCCGTCTTGATCACTATAGGCAGATGGAGAGCTAACGACGCCATTCTTGATTTCCTAAAGGCTGTAGGATAGAAGAGCAGATCTTCCACCCAAACTGCCCGAGATGTTGACATTAAAGGCAGACCATCTTGGAGTAGCGTTTACACTGTCAGTACTTACAGATTCACAAACCCTTCTTTATTTTAAACTAAGGCCCTCAGCCCCTGCTAGATTGAGTAGATAGATCTCTGCCAAAGAAAACCACTGAGTAAATTCTGCCTGATCTTTTCTGAGACAGAATCACTTCCCTCTCCCCAAACCCTCCCAACAACACCCTCCTGGAGTCCTCATACGGTCCCTGTGCCTTTCCCCTCGACCAGAGTTTTAGTCATGGAATTCCATATCAGACAATCCACCTGAGTTACCTTTGCTTCCTCAAACCCTTAGTAGAGCTAAGCACTCTCTCCTTGGTGCTGCAACTGCAGACCCTTCTATAGAAGCAACGAATGCCTCCTTACAATGAATTGTCCATGCACCTCTGTGTCCTGGAGCTCTCAGAGGGTAGGCAGAGTGTTTTTATTTACTTTAACTCCACCAGCTCTTTGCATGGGGCACATGGTAGATCCTTAATAAGTGTTTTTGAGGGAAGGGGTGAAGCCATAACCTGGAAACTGAGCTAGACACATTCTGCAAACGTTCGGGGAGGGTTTTGGTAGAGACGTTGATGATTCTCAGCTGCTGTTTCTGAGGACTTGACAGTGTAAGGTCGTAACATGAACCTGTCTGAGAGTGGTGCAGCCTTAAATACGGTGGTCAGGGGAGATGTCTGAGTTGAGACTTGAAGGAGCTGTCCATGCAAAGATGGGGGTGTGGGGAGGAAGAATGCCCCAGCAGAGGAAACAGCAAGTGCAAAGGCCCGGAGATGGGAATGAGCTTGGCATGTTCTGAGAACAGAGAGACACACATGGGCTGGAGTGCAGAGAGCAAGGGGGAGGGCGCCTGCTGAGGGCTGTGAGGGGTCCAGGGCAGTTCAAGCAGAGTTTTAGGAAATACAGTGAAACCCATGAGAGCCGGAACTCCGGGGACTGCCTTTTCCCGGTCTCACAAGTTTTCCGCCTTTGACAGGGTGCAGTCCTACCACTTTTCTGAATTCTACTTCATAAACACCCAGTGAGTTTTCCTTTTCTGTCGGGTTTCTTTCTGCCTTACACAGGTTCCAGCTTTCCCAGGTTTTAGTGTACAGACCCTTGAATGGTTTTGAGCTGCAGAATGACATTATCTGAGTCACGTTTTTAAAAGATTACTCTGGGTGCTTCGAGGAGAAGGGATTATGGGGTAGCAGTAGAACAGAGAAACCACTTCGGAGCTTTAGTAAGTACCTACAATGTAACATCTGCGATATGCAGGTGCACAACCTTGCTTACAGAAAGTGAAGAGGACTTGAAGCACTTACTGGTGAAGATCAAAGACCACAGCCTTCAGTATGGATTACACCTCAACATAAAGAAAACAAAAATCCTCACAACTGGACCAATAAGCAACATCATGATAAACATGAAAAGATTGAAGCCGTCAAGGATTTCATTTTACTTGGATCCATAATCAACACCCATGGAAGCAGCAGTCAGGAAATCAAAAGACGTATTGCATTAGGCAAATCTGCTGCAAAAGACCTCTTTAAAGTGTTGAAAAGCAAAGATGTCAGCTTGAAGACTAAGGTGCGCCTGACCCAAGCCATAGTACTTTCAATTGCTTCATATGCATGCGAAAGCTGGACAATGAATAAGGAAGACCGAAGAAGAATTGACGCCTTTGAATTGTGGTGTTGGTGAAGAATATTGAATATATCATGGACTGCCAAAAGAATGAACAAATCTGTCTTGGAAGAAGTGCAGCCAGAATGCTCCTTAGAAGGAAGGATGGCGAGACTACGTCTTACATACTTTGGACATGTTGTCAGGAGAGATCAGTCCCTGGAGAAGAACATCATGCTTGGTAAAGTACAGGGTCAGTGAAAAAGAGGAAGACCCTCAGCAAGACGGATTGACACAGTGGCTGCAACAATGGGCTCAAGCATAACAACGATTGTGAGCATGGCGCAGGACTGGGCAGTGTTTCGTTCTGTGGTGGGTAGGGTCGCTGTGAGTTGGAACCGACTTGACGGCACCCAACAACAACTACAACAACGTAACATGCTTCAAAATGAATTTCGAAGGATCTTCAGCTCTGGAATTTTTCCCTATTCCAAACACTTAAAATACTTTGCTGCATACTAGAAGACCATTCTTTGGACAAGTCCCTCAAGTTACATGCTAGTTAGTAAAGATCTCACTGAACTAACTCAACGGGACGGTTGCCATTCACAGACACACACACACACAGCCTTCTGTTGTTACGCAGGACACCTCTGGAAAGTAACTGAACTTTTTAGTAGTCATTCTATTGTTAGTTTTATATTTCACAGTTCAAGGAATTCAAAGATCATTTGTTGTTGTTCTTGTTGTTGTGTGTGCCATCAAGTCGATTCCAACTCACAGCGACCCTATATGACAGAACAGAACTGCCCCATAGTGTTTCCTAGGCTGTAATCTTTACAGGAGCAGATCGCCAGGTCTTCTTTCCTGTGGAGCTGCTCGTGGGTTTGAACCACCGACCTTTCAGTTAGCAGCTGAGCACTTAACCACTGGGCCACCAGGGCTCCTGCAAAGATCATTAGAGAATATAAATAAAACCCCTTATTTTAAAAAAAGCAAAGAAAAAGACATTAAGAGGTATGATCGCATCATAGAGTTACCGTGGAAGACGCCAGGCATTGCAGCTCTATTCCTTTAGCTCCCAGCCACTATGTCAAAGTTTAACCAGCAGGAGCAACCACCGCCTAATTAGGAGCTTAGCATATCACTGCTGATCTTTATAATATACGTATCTATGCACTATTCTCTGGCCAGTATTACCTTTAAAGATTAAAGACAAAGCAATTTTACCATGTAATCTGGGAAGTCCCCCTACATTATGTCATTCCACTGCCAGGAAAGAGAAAAATTCCAGATTGCATTTTATCTCTGAAGACAACTCTATCTTTTTCTCTTGGTTAAAAGCACTTGAAACAATAACATAAACTACAGTTCCAGGAGTGTGATTTGGAAATGAGGAGAAATTTACCCCCTTCTTTGGATTGAAAAATTGAGGTCAAAAATGGGCCACTGCCTACCTGTCACTATCATTCCCACAGTCCAGTTTTCTGCACCATCACTGGTACAGGCTACGAGGCACTCTGTTGCAGCATTGTGGTCACGGTGTAGAAAGCAACTTCCTTCACCTGCCTTGGCCATCCGGAAGCCTCAGGAAGAAGAACCCAGCAGTTGGTGTTCTCTATCAAGCTGCCTCTGAAGGTCGGGAGAAATTCAAGCTG